TTTGTGTGCCATTGCATGCTCCTCCTCTCCCACCCCAGTAAGCGAATGGATGTTTAAGAAGACACGGGCCCGTTGTGGTGGTGCACTGCTTAAATCCCAGCATGGGAGGTATGAGCGGGTGGATGTCTGTGACTTCAAGGCCCGCCTGGTCTACACAGCACATTCCAGGCCAGCTGGGGTAACACAGTAAAATTCTGTCTGAAAACAAACAAAAGATAAAAAGCAAAACAAAATTCCTATGCACACAAAACAAACCAACCCCCAGCCTCCGTGTTCCTCAGTACTGCCTTTTGGAGCACATGGAGTCCTGGGACCTCAGGAGCAATACAATAATCTAAGTAGCCCACAAAGAGATTTGGCAAAGGCATCTTTCTGCTAATTTTCCAAGTCATCTTTATTTTTTTAATTAAAAATTTCTTTTAAAGCTGAGCAGTGGTAGTATACATATTTAATCCCAGCACTTGGGAGACAGAGGCAAGCGGATCTTTGTGAGTTTGAGGCCAGCCTGATCTACAGAGTGAGTTCCAGGACAACTAGGGCTACACAGAAAAACCCTGTCTTGAGAAACAAGGGAAATTTTTTTTTTCTTTTGAGACAGGGTCTGACATATAACTCTGGCCAGCCTGGAACTCACTATGTAGACCAGGATGGCCTGCCTCTGCTTCCCATATGCTGGGAATAAAGATGCTTTGTGTCATCAACAGGGTTCTGTGACAGATGCTGAAATAAAGGATAGTCATCCTTTGCTGGCTGAGGGGGACTGATTCTAAGCCTCCCACTGGCAGGCACCAGAATCCCTAGATCCTCACACCCCCATGTCCTATGCTTAGAGCATACATACACTACACCCAGGTCCTCATTCCCTCATGTAATACGCAGAACATACACACACCACATCTAGATCCTCACACCCTGTGTCATACGCAGAACATACACACACCACACCTAGATCCTCACACCCCCATGTCCTACGCTTAGAACATACACACACCATACCTAGATTCTCACACCCCCATGTCATACGCAGAACATACACACACTACACCTAGATCTTCACACCCCATGTCATACGCAGAACATACACACACTACACCTAGATC